AGAGAGAGAGAGAGAGAGAGAGAGAGAGAGAGAGAGAGAGAGAGAGAGAGAGAGCTCCTTGCTTTAACCCGGAAAGGCATTGACAGAGCAGATGTCGGTTTGGTGACTGAGCACCTTCAACAAGTGTCAAACAGTCGACGTGCGGATGACAACGCACTCTAAGGGAACCTTGATGCTGGGTGTGGATTTGCTTACCGCAGGTTAGCAGTTGTTGGGCAGTCTTGGATGCTGAAGTCCGCCACCGGGGGAAGGTTTGATGGTCTGTGGTGGGACTTCCTGTTGGATTTGGATCTGTTTCGTGGTCTGTGGTGGGACTTCCTGTTGGATTTGGATCTGTTTCGAGCAGAGTTTCTCACTCAAGAATCATAATTGAACTTCAGATCCCGCAGGTTAGCAGTTCTTGGACATTGCTTGTGGTGTTGTCGGGGTACACACCAGAAGTTGGAGTGAACTCTCATTTAGATGGACAACAATAACGCACACCACTTGCTTAGTGTTGTTGTGACAGACAGTACGCGATTCAAAAGGGCATCGTGTTGGGTATGTGGTGCCTGTTTTTCATAAAAGGTCAGGGGTCCGGCGCCCGACACCTTGCAAGTTGAAGGACTGAACCTGTCAACGGTGGTCGGGCGGAACAACCAGCCAGGTGCACGACATTTGGCAAGTTGCCCTTCAGTACCCTTGCAACAAATGTGTCCAATAGTTCGCAGATAGTAGTTGGTGGTGTTCGACAGAGCACCTTAAGGAAGTGACAAACAGTCGTTCACTCTCGATGTCGATTGCCAATAGCACTGTTCGAGAGAGAGAGAGAGAGAGAGAGAGAGAGAGAGAGAGAGAGAGAGAGAGAGAGAGAGAGAGAGAGCTCCTTGCTTTAACCTGGAAAGGCATTGGCAGATACTAGTTGAACAACGAATCAATTAGCAGATATCGGTTTGGTGACTGAGCACCTTTAACAAGTGTCAAACATTCGTTGGCGGTCTGTGCGGATGGCCACACACTATAAGGGAACCTTGGTCTGTGGCGGGACTTCCTCTTGGATTTGGATCTATTTCGAGCAGAGTTTCGCACTCAAGAAATAGAATTGAACTCCAGATCCCGCATGTTATCAGTTGTTGGACATTTGCATGGATAACTAGCGGATTGCTCGGGGTACACAGCACAAGTTGGAGTGAGCTCTCATTTAGATGGACAACATGAGCGCACACCATCAGCGCGTTGATACAATACGGATGCTGGCTTGTCATTTGCATGAACAAATCAATAACATAGATTTCTGACATTCACTCTTGTTATCGCAAACATCGATCCCCTCCTTCACATGAGCATGTATAGGACTGTAAGACATTGGCATGAACATCGGAGATCGAAACACTTGCAAGGTCATCGGCGTGTCATTTCTTTGCATGGACAAGATACATAACATCCATTCAGAACATTTACTCTTGTCACCGCAACGTGGAGATGGAAACACTCGCAACATTGCACCTTCGTAAATGGAAACACCGCACGCTGAGTTGTGAGAAATGTTCAAATCACTGAACAGGGGTTGTTTCCGGAAAAACATTCAAAGCAAAAAATCAGTCAATCACACGTTGTCAATCGCACCTATTGCAGCTACTGCCTCTCGCACCTCTATCTGCTACTTCATATCCACCATTTCAAGGTCCACATCCACATGCACATCATGTTCCACAAGATTGTATTTCAACACGTTTTCCCTTAAACACAAGGTCTGACCACACGTCCGTATCTTGTGACATACGAGGATTCCCATGGACGAGGTCGTAAACGGAAGCCATAAATAGCATTCAAAGATGATCCATACACATGGATCTGCGGCTCGTCGACTGTTGCATTCTCCGAAAACACGGACATGTATTTCATCCTAACAAACCCTCCGGGTCGTGCTAAGGAATTCCCTATGCACTCTCGTATGTCGGACACTTTCTTTTCCACCTCATAAAATAATTCTTAACATGTGACCTGACCTGCTCTCACAAAATCTGACCGCCCATCTACATCGGGGCGAGACATCACCAGCTTGAATTTGTAATCCTGTTGTACCATGTCGTTCCGTGACACGAGCACAACTGCAGCCACGAGTTTTTACTTTTGTCTGAAGTAGCCACACATAGCACTCTGGCGAAAGGACATTCGTAATCAGTCAAACGCACACAACAATACGATATAGTTTGTGGAGAAGTCCCTGGGCAACGGAGTGGGTAGTGTTCCAAGAATGAACAATGACGAGCGCAGTCCACCAACTTTTGCTTCTGCGAACTTCCCCAAGTTCGTGGCGAAGATGTGATGTACTCGCAGTGGAGGCGACGCCTGAAGCTGGTACGGTAGCGGATCGGTTTACCCTTATCGTCCATGGTCTTTCGCTGGAGGACACCATCAGACAGTGCAATGAAGCTCCTGAACTCTAACATGTTGGCAAACTTGTAATCGCTTGCCCAAGGGCAGGCACGCTCCATCGCCTTCCAATCATTATCGTTCCATTTGTCGAGATGCCGATTCATGTACAGGACGACGGTCATCCATGGGTCCTCGTCGAAGTCCTCCTCGGTTGCTCCGTCGATCCACGTTTGACCGTCATGATGCCGCACCGATCTCGCACAAGGTGAAAACGGTCTTGCTAACCGCATGCGTTTCTCGGGACTCAAGTGCATGTGCGTCTCGGGACTCATGCTGACGCTTGTCGAAGGTGCCGACGACATTACGCTCCCTACACATCACGCACACACAAACGACACATTTAGACATGTAAACCGTCGTAAATAAAGTTGGTCAATGATAAGTCTTCTGGTGCGGCCAACACTCAATCGTCACGCCCTGTACTATATATCGACAAACTCCTCACTTAAGCAAAGTGCGAGTGAACTCTGACTTACGTGCGAGTGAACTCGCACTCGGATGCAGAGGCAGGTGCGCACACCATCAGAGTGATGATTAAATATGGACACTGGCTTGTCATTTGTATAATCCCGGATGAAAACGTCATCAAATCTTTSCATGGACGAATTCGCAACATAGATTCATGACATTCACTTAAGCGGATTGCTCGTGGTTCAGAGCACAAGTGCGAGTGAACTCGCAGTTAGATGGTGAGCTAGGTGGTTATACCACTGAAGTGGAATGCTCGGGGTGAACACAGCAAGTGCGAGTGAACTCGCACTTAGATGGAGAGATAGATGGCCACACCATGAGCTCATGTGTGTAATGTATAAGGAAATCAGCGTGTTTTTTTTGTATACCCTGATGACATTATCGTCATTTTTTTGGCATGGACACGATACACAACATCCGTTCAGAACTTTCACTTCTACCGATGACGACAGGCCGGTGTGTACATGCGTTCATTCAAAGTTCGAAGAGGCGACCCGAACGTAAGACACTGCGGCGCATCGACTGGAGCATCTTTCGCGAACATAGAAATATATTTCATGCGAACGAACCCGGTCCTTCCGGCCAGAGACGTGCCTATAGCATCCCGTATAGAGGACGCTTGAGCTTCAACCTCACGCCAAGCGTCCACATCGTCCACCTTACCCCCGATTACCAAATCCCATGTCCCTTCGTATTCTAATGTGACCAAACCGATAATGTCTCTCCCGAGGTGCAACTCATTCCTGGACACGTAGACCACAGCGTCAGTCAAGGTCCTACTCTGATTCGAACTCGCGACGCAAAGGACCCTAGATAAGAACAACTTTCCTAGACGCAATCTAACACAGAAGTAGGAAACTGCTCGGGGCGACAGCCCTGGCGAGCGCAAAGGGTACTGATCGAGGAACTCGGAATGTCGTGCACAGGCAAGCAACTCGTGTTTCAGCGAGCGGGACCATGTGCGCGGCGAAGCAGTCACGACACTGCAGGCCAACACATTTTGGTGACGAGGAATATTCAGCTTTGCACTCAAGCAACGGCACCGAACTGAACCCAACACAACTCTAGGCACGGGAATGGAACTCCCAAACTCGCACATGTTACCGAACTTGTAGTCGTCCG